GTAGGTGTTGAGAAAAACAATGTACATTCTTTCAGCAAAAAAGAGAAAGGAATTTTCATTGAGTTTCTATTTAAAAAAAACAAACAAACAAAAAAAACAATTGGAAGAACAAATATTGCCAAAATCTTTAGAAATGGAGACAATCGCTAATAAGGAGTTGATGAGTAAATCAGTAGTCTTCAAACATTTTTGTTCACATACGTAAAAAACTACCCTCTTTCATATTTCTAGGTAAAAATCAAAAGTTATTTATTGTAAGTTTATGTAGTTGCAAAGGATGCAATTTCCTGCATACTGTAAACACTGACATTCTAAAATAAAAGTTATTTTTTTAAATGAATCCAATGAAATCTATCATAGCAATTATGCCTACTATCACCTATTTAAAAAACATATGAACATCAACATAGTATGGGAAGTTCTAGCCACAGCAATCAGACAAGAAAAATAACAGGCATCCAAATGGGAAAAGAAGAAGTAAAATTGTCATTATTTGCAGATAACATGATACTATATAGAGAGAACCCCAAATATTCCACCAAAAAACTATTAGAATGATAAATGAATTGAGGAAAGTAGCAGGATACAAAATTAATATTAAAAATCGGTTGCATTTTTATACACCAATAATGAACTATCGGAGGAGAAATTCAGGAAACAATCCCAAATGCATAAAAATAAATAAAACACTTAGGAATAAATTTAACCAAGGAAGTAAAAGACCTATACTCAGTAAATTATAAGATATTGAAGAGAGAAATTAAAGAAGATACAAATAAATGGAAACATATACTATGCTCATGAATAGGAAGAATTAATATAGTTAGAATGTCATACTACCCAAAGCAATCTATAGATTCAATACAATCACTACCAAAAAACCAGTGGCATTTTTCACAGAACTAGAACAAATAATACTAAAATTTATATGGAACCATTAAAAACTCTGAATAGCTATAACAATCCTAAGAAACAGGAACAAAGCTGGAGGTATCACGCTACCTGATATCAAATTGTACTGTAAGTTCATAGTAAGCAAAAAGAATAGTATTGGCATAAAAACAGACACATAGATCAATGGAACAGAATAGAGAGCCCAGAAATGAACCCATGTCTATATGGTCATTTAATCTATAACAAAGGAAGCAAGAATTCACATTGGGGTAAAGACAGTCTAGTCCATAAATGGTGCTGGAAAAACTGGATAGATACATGCAAAAACACAAAACAACAACAACAAAAAACAAACAAAATGAAACTGGACCACCTTGTTATGCAAAATACAAGAATAATCTCAAAATGAATTAAAAACTTAAATGTAAGACCTGAAACCATAAAACTCCCAGAAGAAAATATAGGAAGTAAACTCTCAGACATTACCCTTAGTAGTAGTTTTACTGATATGTCCCCTCGGACAAGGGAAACGAAAGAAAAAAATAAACAATTGAGACTATGTCAAACTACAAAGTATTTTCACAGCAAAGGAAACCATCAACAAAATGAAAAGACATCCTACTGAATTGGAGAAAATACTTGCAAATGGTACATCTGATAAGGGGATAATATCCAAAATTTGTAAAAAACTCATACAACTCAACATAAAAAAACCAAACAGTCCAATAAAAAAAAAAAGACACAGGACCTGAATAAACATTTCTCCAAAGAGGACATACAGATGGTCAGTGGACATATAAAAAGAGGCTCAACATTACTAATTATCAGAGAAATGCAAATAAAAACCACAATCAGATATCACATCACTCCTGTAAGAATGGCTATCATCAATAAATCAACAGACAATAAGTGTTGGTGAGGATTTGGAGAAAAGCGAACCCTTATGTACTGTTGGTGGAATTGCAAATTGGTGTAGCCATTATGGAAAACAGTCTGGAGGTTCCTCAAAAAATTAAAAATAGAACTAACTTACAACCCAGCAATTCCACTCCTGAGTATTTAGCCAAAGAAATCCAAAACACTTATTCAAAAAAATATATGCACCCTTGTGTTTACTGCAGTGCTATTCACAATAGCCAAGATATAGAAACAACTGAAATGCTCTTCAGTAGACAATTGGATAAAGAAATTGTAGTACATTTATACAATGGAGTATTACTCTGCCATAAAAAGAATGAAATCTTACCATTTGCAACAACATGGATGGACCTATAGGGTATTATGCTAAGTGAAATAAGTCAGATGGAGAAACACAAACACCACATGATCTCACTTATATGTGAAATCTAAAGAACAGAATAAATAAACAAACCAGAAATACACTCACAGACACAGCAAACAAACTGATGATTGTTAGATGGGAGGGGGCTAGGGGGATGGGTAAGAAAGATGAAGGGATTAGGAAGCACAAATCGGAGCCACAAAATATTGATAGTTATAGGGTTGTGAAGTGCAGTATGGGGAATATAGTAAAAAATGTTGTAAAACTGTGTGTGGTGTCGGATGGGTACTAGACTTATGAGGGGATCACTTCATAAGTTGTATGGATGCCTGGCCACTGCATTGTACACTTGAAACTAACATAAAATAGTATTGTATGTATATATATATATATATATATATATATATATATATTCATGGGATATGAAGTACAGCATAGGGAATATAATCCATGGTATTGTAATAACTATCTATGGTATCAGATGGGTAGTAGACTTGTTGGGTTTATCACTTTGTGAGGGGTGTAAATGTCTAATCGTTATGTTGTTTTGTAAACCTGAAATTAATAAAAAAAATACACAAGCTCTTCTTACCTACAGTGTATTTTATATCTCTTTTTTTTCTCTTTACTCTTGTAACTCCATTCCACATGCCACTCCTCAGGAGTATTATCTTAATTTAAAGTATTTTTATGTTTGAATGTGCTTTATCAATCATCCTATTATATTTCTCTGTAATGTAAATAAATATATATACATTTAAAATTAAAAATTTAAATTTCCAATGCCTGAAAGACCAAGTGCTGAATCAATTTCTTCTTCATTGAGGTGCCATTATATTTATTAGTAATAATCAAGTATTCAAAACCTATTAAAATACATCACAAATTTTTATAATTATTAAACATATGTATTTTTTTCAATTAGTAGTTAAATACTTCTTACAAGAATGAGTCAGAATTTAGTATGCTTTCTCAATTTTCATTTCCATAAATTCTAAGAAAATGTCTACATTAATAAAGTAGATGGGGCTATAAGGAGTTTTGTCATATCAATGTCACTCAATTTTTTGAACTTCCAATTTATAAACTCACTTAGTGATTTTAAGGTCATACTTTGTTGAAAGCAATTACTTGTAAATCATCTGCCTTGCAAAATAATTTGTTACCCAATCATAGAAGCATCCACTTACTCAATACAGCCTAGTATTTTAAATTGATAAAGCACTGCTTAAGGTTGCCTGGAGCAATGCACCCTTTTAAAATTCACAATGAGTGAGAGTTATGCATTTTCTTTTTACAATTTGGAGGATATATGGCTATTGTGAAAGGGTTGGGAAATGAAACAGGGAGACACCTTGACAGCATTCCTTCACTAGCAAATCAGTTTTAGGAAATGCTATATATAAATACAAGTTGAAGATTCAGAAACTGGTAGCCTTAAAACTAAGTGTGTGCTTCCTCTCCAAAATCTCCTGGGTGATGCACATCTCAGCTTGAAGACCACTGATGTACATTTTTACATCATTTTATTGAATATGATAAGAGAGACAGGCCAGCTCAGGTTAGTCTTCAGTTGGAATACTGTACACTGGTGTCTATACCTTGGGAGTAGAACTGTGACCTGTATACTAAGGCTGTTTGATTTTTATAGATGGCTGTGCTCATCTTTTATATTGTTCTGTATTTTTTTAATCAAAGGTAATAACCTTAACTTCAATTTGGGGGTACTGATGTTGAGCACATATACTGACTACCTAAGGGAAATATTATGCCCCACTTAAAAATGATTATTACAACTAAATACATGAGAAACTCTTTAGAGTTTGGTAAGGGAAAAAAGCAAAATATATAGTTGTATGAAAATTATGATTTCAATTATAAAAAACTACATAAACTTATGGCTAACACTGCAAGTAAATATGAAAAAATGAAGTGGTTTTTTTTGGTAGTGTCTTTAATATTGCATGACTTTAAAATAATGACGATCACACTTATGATGCTGAGGGTTCAGATAATCTGTTTAATATTCTCTTTCTCCCAGTGAGTGGTACCAAGGAACTGTGAGTTTAAATTCACCAAAATAAAGTATTCAAGAGATTGAAGATCTTTCTGCAAAAACTAATTTCTCATCATGATGCATTATGGGTGTTATTCCCCAAATATATTTAAACTGTTCTTCAATCTAGTTCAATACATTCTATGTCTTAATGTGACAAATTCCAGAAGTTTATTTCCTGTATGAAGTAATCTTCTCATTCATATTGTTTTTAGCTTTCTTTCATTTCCTGGTTATATTGTTCAGAGTTCAAGAACCCGACCTTGCTGGTGAAGTCATGATAAGCCTCCTAAACTAATCCTTTTCTCGATTTGTTTGTTTTTCTTGTTTTGGTTTTTGAGATCCTAACTACAAGCTCGGTATACTCCAGGGCCCACCAAAGGAGAGAACAGACTAGTCCAAGAGTGTTTATGTGTGTGAGAGAGCTAACAGTGGTTACCACTTCTCTGGGGTTCTGGCAGTAGGACCCTAAGGTTCCCACAACAAGCCTCCCTATGCAAACGTCCGCAAACCACAGGACCCAAGCAGCCTGCGAGAATTCCGCAAACTCTCCACAGACCTCGGAGCGCCGCGGCACTGCGTGGCCCCGCCCCTCCACTGCGTGGCCCCGCCCCGTCGTGACTCTCTACGTCACTCTCCCTCCCGCTCCCCATCGCGCGCCGCTCGCACTTGCGTCCTCCGCTGGGTTCGCGGTCCCGCCCCCTCCCGCGCCAGCCCGCCCCGGCCGGCTGCCCCGCCCGGCCCCTAGGCGGTTGTTCGCGGCGGCCGCCGCCCTCCCCCGGCCCAATGGCGAGGTTGCCGCGTCAGTGATGTGAAGCACTGCTCAGGCTTGTCCGGCCCCCGGTCCGCAGCCCATTACACCATCCGCCGCGGCAGCCGCTGCAGCAGCAGCAGCTGCAGCCCGCGCAGACTTGGGAGGGCGGGAGGCCTTCTGGCGTGGCGGGGCGGGGCGAGCGGCACGACCGGACTCATTCCTGTGGGGCTGGGGCATGGAGGAGCTGTGCGACCTCAGGCGGAGCAGGGCGGCCCGGGCGGCGGCGAGGACAACGGTTTCAATTTGAAGGGGGCGGCCCGCGACCGAGCGGCCAGCGGCGGCTGGAAGGACTAGCCCACGGGCAGGTAGTGGCGGCGGCGGCCTGCCCGAGCCGGGGCTGCGGCCTGAGGTGCCCGCGGAGAGGCCTGGGCGGGAAGGGGAAGGAGGGCGCCCCCGGCAGCTGAGGGTGGCAGCAGGCTGGAGCCCACAGGCTCGTCGGCCCGCCACGAGGTGGGTCGTGTTGGTTGGAGAACCTTGGGGAGGGGCTGCCCATATCTGGAAAAGATAGAGGTGAAGGTTAAGTAGGGTGGGGGGACGCTGTGGTTTGGGGACCCTGCAGATCCCCTGTGGAGGCGGGGGCATCAAAATGGGGCGGGTAAAGTTAGCTAAAAGGCAGCCGGATTTCCTGAGAGCCTCGAGTAGTTTTAAAGGAAAGAGAGTCCTTTGGGTGAGGGTTTTGGCGTTCGCTGGCCGTGGTTTGTTGTGTCCGACCTTTTTGTTCCTCCTCGAAACCCATCCTCGCCACAATGAGGCCTTCCAGCCTCGCGCCCTTGGCCCGCTCTCCTCTGCAGATGTAAGAAAGAAACATTTCTGAATCCGCGTCTTATGCCTCTTTCGGTTGTACTCTCCCTGGGCGTGTGCAAAGCAAAACTAGAACAAAGCTTGGCTGGCTAGGAGGCGAGAAAACCGGTTGCCCGTAGTGTTTTAAATTTACCGTAGAAAAGACCGCCTCCTACCAAAACATTTGGGTCTGTGGGTACCTTTTTGTGTTCTTATTCACCTTTTTTGGGGGGTGGGGGCGGAGTAGTCCCTAAAGTATGGCTTTTCCCTCCTTTCCCACAGGAGTAGCAATTACGAAAAACCGAGTGTTTTTGCCGTTACCTATGGAAAATTCAAAATTGCTACTTTTTTCCCCCCCTTTCTCTAGTTTGGTGCTGTGATTGTCAGATGTTGGAAGGCAATAGGACAGAACATACTCTCCTCGGTTTTATATCCGTCCTGGGGTGCAGTGATTAACATTGAACTGGTTCCCGAAACTCTTGTCTGTGTCGATAGAGTTAAGCTGGAGCTTTGCTTTTAAGGATAAAGAAAGCACAGCCTCTCAACTGGACATAAATGGATCTAAAGACAGCAGTATTTAACGCAGCTCGGGATGGCAAACTCCGGCTTCTCACCAAGTTGTTGGCAAGCAAATCCAAAGAGGAGATTTCCTCCTTGATCTCTGAAAAAACAAATGGGGCCACGCCACTCTTGATGGCGGCCAGGTATGGGCACCTTGACATGGTGGAATTCCTCCTCGAGCAGTGCAGTGCCTCCATAGAAGTCGGGGGCTCGGTCAATTTTGATGGCGAAACCATTGAGGGGGCTCCCCCTTTGTGGGCCGCTTCTGCAGCAGGACATCTGAAGGTGGTTCAGTCTTTGTTGAATCATGGAGCATCTGTCAATAATACGACTTTAACCAATTCAACTCCTCTTCGAGCTGCCTGTTTCGATGGCCATTTGGAAATCGTGAAGTACCTTGTGGAACATAAAGCTGATTTGGAAGTGTCAAACCGACATGGGCATACCTGCTTGATGATTTCCTGTTACAAAGGACACAAAGAGATTGCTCAGTATTTACTTGAAAAGGGGGCAGATGTTAATAGAAAAAGTGTTAAAGGTGAGTTCTGTTTCTTCATTTTTATTTCTTATTTACCAACTATTTTCAGGAAGTTTGATACATAATCATAAGCAGTGGTATTGAGTACGCCAAAACCTGTGTTGATTAGGTATACCTTCCAGTATAACGTTGATTGTTTCTCTGATATTTGATAATGCATTGAACAAGTGTGATAAAAAGACTCTGTGATAAAAATCACTATGTTAAGCAGAATTTTCTCTTACTTGGAGTAACTTCCAATTGCTGGGAGATGGGTTCCCCAAAGTTACAGAGTCGTGTTAGTGGCAGTTCTTCTGAGCCCTTGGACTAGTATTTAATCTTCTTGAGAATATACTTTAACGTAATATATTTTTCTTAGCTTTAATTTTTTTAGAACAGCCTTGGAGTAGAAACTACTGTATTTAGTGAGTCATTTTCTTATTTGTCTTAGTTAGGTATTTTATTTGTTACTCTGTCAGGGAAGACTAGTCCAAACTGACCTGGAAGGATTAATATCAATGGAAAAGGAGAAAAATCTGTTCCCTTATTCACTAATTATTGTGTGGCCAGTAGAAAATCTTTCTATACAGAAAATGTGTTAAATACAGCAAAAAAGAAAACAGATTTTTTAAACTGCTAACAATACTGAGAGCAAAATAAGGACTAGGTTAAACCAGTTGTGGATTTGTTGGCTAGCAACAGTGTAAACAACCTTTGTACAGAAGAAGAGCTCAGGTTTACAATTGTGTATAATTTTCAACTTGTAATAAAGCAGCAAATGATAGTTTAGAATTTTTTAAAACTCTTAAAAGCTGTTCTGATAGAATAATTTTTGATACTTGAAAACCTATTTTCCTTAAACATATTTATTAATGCAGCAGCAAAATAATTCACTATCTAAAAAAACTTGAAATTTAAAAGTAACAAACATACATGGTAAAAAAAAAATTCGAACATTACAGATTGGTTTACAGTGTTTACAATGAAAAATAAGCCTTATCACCCCAGATTTCTAGACCTCCAACCCACTGGCAACCACTATTTACAGCTTTTTGTGTCCTAGAGATAGACTGTGAAAATACAAGTATACTTGTCTGTATCAATCTCTCCTCGCCTTCCCCTCTATTAGTTGATACCTACTGTTTTTTGTTTTAAACCTTAATTTATCTTGGATGTCATTCAACTCCAATACACATAGCTACCTTATTCTGTTTCATGGCTACACAGTATTTTTGTATGAATGTATATTGTTTATCTAGTCCCTGTTGATCGACAGTTCGGTCACATCCAAACAGTGATAATGAATATTCTTGAACATGCTGCTGTGAATATTCTTGAACAAAAGTGTATCTTTGCACACTTGTGTGAGAATAGCTTTATTATAAATACCTATAAATGGAATTTGAGTCAGTAAATGTGCATTTATTGTTGTGATAGTGTCTGATGGCCTTTCAGAGACGCTAAACCACACAATTAAGGGGCACTATATATCAATAATTGCTGGATATATTTACTAAAGTTAGTATGAGCCTTTTAAAAAGTTTTGTTATAAAAATGAAGCAGGCTCATTGTGATTGCCTGAAAAATTTTTTTCCAGAGGAATATAAAAATTTCATAAAATCCAAACGCTTAGAGATAATCCTTCCAAAGATATTTCTGAATATTGCATATAGGTCTAGGTGTGCAATTTTATTTTATATGCCCTTCTATATCCTGATTTTAGCTTAATAAATATTATCTTTAATGCCATTAATTATCTCTTTAACTTCAATAGCTGCATACTCTTCTACTAATGGAGTTTTATATTGCTTCTGGCTTTTCAGTATGACAAAATATATTTCTGTAAACATTCTTATAAATGTTTTCAGTTGTTCCAGATTATCTTTGAGATAGGTTGTTGGGGTCAAAGGACGGCATGACTTTTATAAAAACAATCATCATTCTTTTAAATAATGCTTATTTTGAGAGAACAAATTACTGCTTAAGTGACCATGCTAATATTGGGAATGCTTTGAAATCATAACTACAAGAGAAAAGGTTAAAAGGTATGACTGCTTGTTTAGGCTTATTGGATTTTTTGTTTCTTTGTTTTGGATCAGCCTAATGATGTACAGATTGATGGTAATCTCATATGTACAGATTGTTGGTAAACTCATATGTTTAAGTAACATTGGGGTGTGTTTTAAATTCTTACGTCATTGGAGAGATGAGTACTGGTACTGTTGGGTTGTCGGAAAAGTCATGACGTATTTTTTCTTTTTTTGTTGCAAAAATGCATCATGAATTTTCCGACAACCCATTATTTCCCTTTTGTTTTTCAAAGCTGCTTTATATATTCCTGGAGATATAATATATGAGAGAACTATACTATAAATAGCTCATTGTTTTGTGAGCATTTCCCCCTAATAAACTGTAAACAGTATTTAACTTGATTACCTTTGCTATTTAAGGAGAACATTTCTCTTTTAACATATCATGGTATATACCTTGTGTATGAGAATGTGTATGCTCCCTCTTTTGGCCAATGGTCTGCTAGTTCTAGGGTCATTTATTTCCCCCAGTGCCACTATTTAATATTTATGTCTTTGAAAAAATATGCATAACATGAGAAAACAATTTTATACCAAAAATTGTTTTCAAATAGCCTCAGTTTTATAGACATACATAGGTACACATACACATATGTGTATTTTATGTATACAGAGGAGGCCAAAAAAATGTATACACATTTTAAGGAAGGAAAAAACTGCCTTAAAATTGTAATACTCAATATATACTGATAACAAAAGATGCATACAAGTCACGTTTGACTTTTGCAATTACAAGAGGTGCTCAAAGTGGTTACCATTGGTGTAATTTTAATATAGTCTTTTCCTTTCTTAAAATTTATACTTTTTTTGGCATCCTATATCTATCTATTTATCTATATATATGTGTGTGTGTGTGTATTTGTTTGTATACATATATACATATGTGTATATACATGCATATATACATATATGTCTACATATATAATATATATCACTTTGTGTGCAGTACTTTTACCTTTTCCTGGTGACTTTTTTTTTTTTTAAAGATTTTTATTGGGGAATTGGGGGATGGGAACAGTGCTGGGGAATTGGGGAAAGGGGAACAGACAAGTTGCTGTCGTTTTGTTCTTCAATCTAGTTGTGGAGGACGTTGCTTCACTGGCCCAAGTTGGCACCATCATTGCGCTCTTCTCTGGCGAGGCAGATCAGTCGCCGGCCTCTGGACGGCCGCTCACTGCGGCTGCTGGCCGCTCACGCTGGCTGCTGGCCGCTCACGCTGGCTGCTGGCCACACACGGTAGCCCATGGCAACCCACTGCCACAGAGGCTGCAGCCCACGCCGTCGCCGGCGACTCATGGCAGCCCAGCTCCAGGTTGAGCTGTTGTTCAGCATCTTAGCTGTGGAGGGCAGTGTCACTGGCCCTCACATGTGGGATCCGAACCGGGGCCCTCTGGCATCCCAAGCGAGTTCTCAACCATCGCGCCACTCGGCCGGCCCTTTTCCTGGTGACTTTTAATTTAACAGTGATTCTTAATGATTGTTGGGGCAGATTAAAGTTCATTGCATCTTTCCCCACTCTGACATTGAAGCTTCTATTCTTTGATAATAACTCTCATTGACTCTTCAGTTTTTTTATGGGTTAAGGGGTAATAAAAAAGCAGGAACCAACTGAAACTGAGGCAGGAACACTGGAGAAGAATCAGACAGAGCATCAAAAAGGACTTTTGTCCCACATTTTTACCTCCATCCAGAAAGTGGAAAAGACTAATAAAGACTAGGGATAAAATGGAATAATTTCTTCAGAAATTTTATATGTCAGCTGTTGGAAATGGTTCTGAAGAAAGAAAATGCCAATAGATTATGCTTGGTCTGCTTAAATATAAAATGTATGTGACTTCTGCATTCCATTACTTTTTAACAAGCAGTTGGCATTTGGATATATTATTTAACCTTTTTCTATTACTTTGTGACAGGCTGTGGGCATTTTGCACATGTTTTAACCTAAGGTGGAATTCATTCATTCATTAATTGAGAGCATTTACCGAGTCCCTCAGTGAGCCAACTTGTTATACTTAGGATGTACAAAGATGAGTAAGACAAGATATCCAGTCCTTGATTCCCTGCACTTGAGCAGCTCATGGTTTGATCAGAGAGACAGGTTCATAAGCAGATACTTAAGCCATTATATGGTAAGTGCAACAATAGTGCTTTCTTCTATTTTTTTCTTCTATATTTGGAAATACTTTATCCCCAGTCAACTCATTACCTGAGGGGACAGTGGGTTCCTTCTTTTCCCATGACATTCAAAAAGGGAAGAAAACCTTTGAGATATTAGAAATACTTCTCCAGTTTAACACAGTTGATTTTTTTTTTTTTTAAGATTTTTATTGGGGGATGGGAACAGCGCTGGGAAATTGGGGGAAGGGGAACAGACAAGTTGCTGTCGTTTTTTGTTCTTCAGTCTAGTTGTGGAGGACGTTGCTTCACTGGCCCAAGCTGGCACCATCATTGCACTCTTCCCGGAGAGGCAGATCAGTCGCCGGCTTCTGAGTGGCCGCTCACTGCGGCTGCTGGCCACTCACGCTGGCTGCTGGCTACACACAGTAGCCCATGGCAACCCACTGCCACAGGGGCTGCAGCCTACACCGTTGCCGGCAACTCACAGCAGCCCAGCTCCAGGTCGAGCTGTTGTTCAGCATCTTAGCTATGGAGGACAGTGTCACTGGCCCTCATATGTGGGATCCGAACCGGGGCCCTCTGGCATCCCAAGCCAGTTCTTAACCATCGTGCCACTCGGCCGGCCCTAACAGTTGATTTTTGATACAGGAGAGTTGGGTGCTGTTTAAAACTGTAGTCCCCAAATCAGAAGTGATGACATAAGCCGATCTTAGCTATCACATTGATCTCAGCACTTTGTGGTTATAGTTATCTTTGACTTTCTTTGGTTCTTTCTTATTACTATTTAAACTCTGAATAAGACTTTGCAGATCT